ATACTAGATAATCTGCCTTTAGTTGTTCCAGTTCGGAGGTTAGAGCAAGATGCCCCTCCTGCCTATCAGCAGGGAGTTTATATTGGTGTAAAAGGACAATATGCTGGAGTAAGGAATTTTATTTTACTTCCCATGACACGATGTAGAACTGATTCTATATGTAGTAGAGCTAAATTTCATTATGGTCTACTCATTTGTCTCGTGTGATTGCCTGCAGAGCAAGGATGAGAAGCATTTCATCCATAACCACTTGACATTTACTGTCAAGTACCATAAAGATTTGCAGACAGACTCGGCCAGAATTGTGGGATTTGAGGTCATGCCATTTAGGTTTGTTTTTCAAGACTACTCATATTTCTGTCTGCACTTATAGGCTGAGGCATAATGTAATGTGTAAGATTTCACTTGCTCTTATTGTTTAATCTTTTGGTGCCAAAGAACTGATATGGCTGATAATATTTCCAGTGTTAAGCATGAATATGATGGCAAATGGGCTGACAATACTCGTTTAACAACATGTGATCCACATGCAAAACGGACAGTATCTAACTCAAATTCTCCTCAAGAGGTTGAGGCTAACCAAGAAATCATATTTACATATGATGTTGAATTCCAGGTAACTTATCGAATCTTGTTAGATATGGCTACTCAATGTGATACTTCCCCCATCCCAAAACAAGTGTAACCTTAGCAAAAATCGTGTTCATTAAGAAATCAATAAATACAATGTGTAGTTTACTAAACTACCCCTATTTAATAAATATCTCTTGAAAATTTAACACTGTTAAAAAGTTGGAGTATAAGGATATAGTTAGAAAAAATACTACTAATTTTTATATTGAATTTCTAAGGTGACGCGTATTTTGGGACAATTTTTTTGCTAAGGTGACACTTGTTTTGGGATGGAGGGAGAAGTTACTAGTCTTTTTTGTAATTTTATATGTTATCATTTTTCTGTTTAACCTTTTGAGATTTATAGGGGATTTTGGTATTATATAAAACACATTTTGTATGATTCTCTGGTTTGTATTGCAGGAGAGTGATGTGAAGTGGGCCTCAAGATGGGATGCCTATCTTTTGATGGCTGATGATCAGATACACTGGTTCTCGATAGTAAATTCTTTAATGATTGTGCTGTTCCTATCAGGCATGGTGGCAATGATAATGTTGAGAACACTTTATCGTGACATTTCCAAGTATAACGAACTGGAAACCCAGGAGGAGGCACAGGAAGAAACAGGATGGAAACTAGTCCATTCAGATGTTTTCAGGCCTCCAAGTAACTCGGATTTGCTTTGTGTCTATGTTGGAACTGGTGTACAGTTTTTCGGTATGATGCTTGTGACCATGATGTTTGCCGTCTTGGGGTTCCTCTCCCCTTCAAATCGGGGTGGGCTAATGACTGCAATGCTCTTGCTCTGGGTTTTCATGGGACTCTTTGCGGGCTACTCTGCTTCCCGTCTTTATAAGATGTTTAAAGGTACAGAATGGAAGAGAATCGCTCTCAGGACAGCGTTTTTGTTTCCAGCTACTGTCTTTGTCATCTTCTTCGTGTTAAATGCACTCATCTGGGGTCAAAAATCATCTGGGGCTGTGCCATTTGGAACAATGTTTGCTTTGGTGTTCTTATGGTTCGGAATATCAGTCCCTCTTGTGTTTGTTGGCAGTTACGTTGGTTTTAGAAAGCCAACCATTGAGGATCCAGTAAAGACAAATAAAATACCCAGGCAGATCCCAGAGCAGGCTTGGTACATGAACCCCATCTTCTCAGTTCTCATTGGAGGCATACTTCCATTTGGAGCCGTCTTCATTGAGCTCTTTTTCATTCTCACCTCAATCTGGCTGAACCAGTTTTACTACCTCTTTGGTTTCCTCTTCATCGTTTTTGTCATCCTGATAGTCACCTGTGCTGAGATAACCATCGTACTATGCTATTTCCAGTTATGCAGTGAGGACTACTTGTGGTGGTGGAGATCCTACTTGACATCAGGCTCGTCCGCACTTTACCTGTTCCTTTACGCTACCTTCTATTTCTTCACCAAGCTTGACATCACTAAGCCTGTTTCCGGGATCTTATATTTCGGTTACATGTTGATTGCTTCATATGCATTTTTCGTCCTGACCGGTACCATCGGTTTCTACGCATGCTTCTGGTTCACAAGACTCATCTACTCGTCTGTGAAGATTGATTGATTGATTCTCCAGTTCACTGGTTTGTCTGTCAACAAGAATGCTGTAGAAGATTACAATTGAATATCCAAAGTTTTGAACATAAGATTATTACAATATTTTAGTATTTAGTTCAGAACAAAAGCTTCTTTTTTTGTTCGATAGAGTTCAGATATCATGTAATTTCTTACAACTTATGAAATGTGTTCCTTTACCAGTTGGTGAAGTTGCAGTTTTAAATACTTTCTTCAATTTTCTTAGTCTTAAAGACAAAAAGAAAAAAATAATGCAAGTATCTCTTCATTTTGCAAATCAAACAAATGAAAATGGACATCTATTTTTAATATAGGGGATGAGGAAGTATTAAATTTCTAAGATTGGCAAGATTTGCTGTTTTAGTATAAGTTGTACATTGGAATAGGGAAAAATCCATGATTTAATATATAATAATGATTGAATATACAGTAAAATATTTATAGTTATTTAATAGATTTCTTTCGATAAACTCATACATTATACACTAGATCCCTTTACAAAGTTCAGTGATTTCCAAAAAAGTCGCTTATTTTAACTGAATAACTATTTTACTCATACAATTTAAGTTATATATATTGACAATATAAAAAAAATTTAATACAAAAAAGCATATATAGTTTAACCTATTATTATATGTTACTTAATTATTATTTTCATTAGGTTAATTACCGATGAATACTTACAATAGATATTAACCTTTAACAAAGACACTTGTTTCAACTGAATAACTATTTTTACTCCTCCAATTTAAGTCATATATATTGACAAAATAAAAACTTTTAATATAAAAAAGCATACGTAGTTTAATCTATTATTATATTTTAATTATTATTTTTCATTAGGTTAATTACCAATGAATACTTACCATAGATATTACTCTTTAATTAATTTATAAATAACCTAATTATCTAATTACTATTTTTGCTCTTGCTGACAGTGCATAGAATTTAAAATTAATCGAACAAAGAGACTTTTTCTTCTATATCAACGCAATTTTCCTAGGTATGGTCAAAAGTAAATTCACAATACGAGAAAATTATGCTTACAAGATCTTATGTAATTAGATTATTAAGACAAGGTTAGTGTTGTGTAAGTATAACAACTGTCCCAAAAAGAATGATTATTCTCTTCCACCATATCCTCCTATCCACTAAACAAAATTAGTCACCTCTAAAATAGGCACAAATTATTTCTCCCCCCACACACTAAGTCCTCATATTTCATTATAAATATTCTACCTTTTCATTTTCTTCTAACCACCATCACATCAAAATCAAATCGAATCAAACAATATTTTAATATAATCCAAAAATGGTTAATTTCAACACTTCACTAGTAACTTTTTTCCTCTTCCTCTTGTTATCCCAAGCTAAGTCTTTTAACATTACTTCTCTACTTAACCATTACTCATCTTATAGCAATTTCAACAATTACCTAACTCAAACAGGAGTGGCTGCCGCGATCAATTCGCGGCAGACCATCACTGTCCTAGTTGTTGAAAACAACAACTTATCGCCCCTCAAGGGGATGTCGCAAGACGTGATAGCTAACATCATGCGTGTGCACGTCTTACTTGACTATTATGACGTTCCAAAGATGCAGATGTTGCCTAACAAGACCATGAAGACACCTACTCTGTTTCAGACGACAGGTTATGCGAATAACGATCAAGGGTTTTTGAACATGACTGATTTGGGTACTGGAAGTATTTCATTAGGCTCAGCTGCAAAAGGAGAAACACTCGGGTCAAAACTAGTTAAATCTATTGCATCGCAACCTTATAATATTTCGATATTGCAAATTAGCAATGTTATTATTCCATCGGGGATCGATTCATCAACACAAGCATCTCCTCCACCGTCTTCGCCACATGCCCCTGCCCCAATTAGTAGTGCACCAACATACTCTCCAGCTTATTCGCCCCATGGATCATCTGCAGCCCCTGCCCCCGGTACTGACACAGGGCCTGCACCAGAATCATCGCCCCATGGATCATCTGCAACCCCTGCCCCTGGTACTGATGTAGGGCCTGCACCAGTATCAGAGGCTGCAGAGACCCCTACAGAGGCTTCCCCTGCACCGGCTCCACATCATTTACCACCCAAGTCCAATGCACCAACTGCAGATACTCCTGCGAGTGCATCAGCTGATACTCCTGCGAGTGCATCAGCTGATGCACCATCGGCTGATGCACCAGCACCAACTCCAACAGGGGATCATGCTAGTGCTAGTTCTATTTTAGGTGTTAGCTTAGTTTTCATTGCAATGACAAATCTCTTTCTCGTTTTAGTGATTTAGATAGCGGAGATTGATTTAGAAATCAATAACTTACTTTAGAAGCCTCGTTCAAGAGGTGTTGTATCGGAACCAATTTTTCTACTTTATGAGTTATTAATAAATCTTTTCCGATGCGAATCCTCATTTCTAATTTTCTTTGACAAAAAAAACTTGAAGGGTTAAATAGGAATCGAAACTTATGTTAGATTTACTATTTGTTCAACAAAAATAACCCCAAAACATAGATAAAATCATCATTTTTACAAGTTTAATTTATTATTAACTCGACATTAATGATTTAAGTTTGTAAAATTTAATACATTTCAAATTTTAGCATTCGAATATGTGTGAAATTGTTGAAATTCAAGAACAAATTTCTACGACTTGAAATCTAATTTAAATTTAATCGCATAAATCTAAAGTGATGAAATAAATTCGAAACAAACGTTTAAAAAGGGTTATAAGTTGAGAAAATTAAGCAAATAATGCTACTATAGTAATTTTTTTTCTTTTATGAGTCACTTGCGAGGATGAGTATCTTTAGGGCCACCAACTCCGGTGGCTACCTTGGCAACGTCGACGGCGGAAGCTTCGGGTTTCTTCATCGCGTACATAGTACCGTACCAAACCGCACCGGTGATAGCTAAACCGGCGATAGTCATTGTAGTAATGCTATAAGGCAAACGCCCTCTTTGATGTAGTACAGTACCTGTACAGAGACGGATTCAAGATTTAAATTTAACAAATTAAAAAAAAAATTGTTAGCTCTATTATCTAATCTTCTGATATACGACAAAAGTCTCCTCTTTTAAATTTCGTGTCACTAGTGACAAGATTAATCTTTAGCAATAATTAATTAACGATAATAACTTAACTTCTATTAAATTTACCTTTTACGTTTTGAAACTGTTTTGTAAATACCGCTAGAACCTAATGCAACATTGAATAACACTAGATTTAATATTTAATTAGAATTAAATAATATCGATAAGACTTTAGCACTTGTGCATATTTACTATGGAAAATTAATACTCCCTCTATTCCATAATAATTGAATTTTCGAGGGTTTTCTAATTGTTCAAATTTTGAAGGGAATGTCCCAATTTTCTTTTTTCATATTTACCCTTTTATTTATTAAAATTTTATATTTTATAAAAGATAAAATAGACCACTTACAAAGTTATATTTCTCAGTGAGGACAATGGTGAAAATTGTGATTGTTTATTTATTAAAATTTTATATTTTATAAGAGATAAATTAGACTACTTATAAAGTTATCAATGGTGAAAATTGTGACTTAAATTTTGTTCTTCAATATTTTTCCACAAATTTAGTTAATATGAAATAAAATGAGTTTAATTAATTAATACCAATTTTAGTAACTTTTTAATTGCTCTGCATAAAATTCAATACAACATTTAATTATCATTTTGCAATCTCACATAAATAAATCAAATATAAGTTACAAGTTAATTTTTGTATTATTTATACAAAGTAAAAAAATAAATGAAATTACTTAATCTTGTCCAAGTAATTTTAGCATAACTAAATTAAAATTCTTATATTTTTAATACGAGTATAACTCTAATCAACAACCAAGTCACTTCTAAAAAACAATTTAAAACTCGTATAATTCTAATCATCGTTTTAGAGTACCTGGATTATGACCTGGTGGTCTCCTTGAGGACTCAACTCCAGCTTTTTTCACTTCCTCTGGACTCATTTTGTGTGTATCTGCCATTTTTCTCCATTCTTCATTATTTCCTGCCATTATTAAATTTTTTATTTTTTTTTGCTTTGTTTTGGGGAGTGGAATATTAGAAATTAAAGTGAAAAAGAAAATTAGGGTTTTTCATTTTGCATGATTTTATTAGGAAGTAGAGGACTGAAAAAATGACACGTACACATTACATGTGTCTCTTTTTATAGTGTTCGGTTGATGATGACTCATAGTTACTTTGTGGTGCATAGGTCTTATTATTCTCGAGGTTTAAATTTGAGACCTTTAATCATAAAAAGTAATAGTAATTAAGAATTGAATCTGCGACTTTAATTAAAAAAGAAACAATTTTATCTATGCACAATTATAATATATGTTATTTTATTTATTTTAATTTACGTGACATAAAATTTGAAAAAGAAAAACATTGATTCCTTTTTCTTTTTATTGTTGTGTGGCATATTGTTTTTTATTACTCATTCTATGTTTAGTAATGGTTTTTAATAATTTAATTATTTTGAATTTATACAGTGTAAATTTTATTTGGAGAAAAATGTTTTTTATTAAAAAAAAAGTTATTAATTTTTAGAGCTCGAATTTGAGACCTCTTTTAGAGAGGAAGGCAACCACATCTGTGTTCAAGTCACACTGGATACACAGGTTTATGGATTGAATTCTGTCAGCCTCGCAATATAATTCAAGTAAAGCTTTGGTTACTGACAAACGCTTCTCCAAATGAGACCTTCTCGAGTTCTATACGGTGTATATAGACGAATTATATTAAATACACACTATATTATATAACATATCCAGAAATATGTGAATCACACTAAATATACATTATATACATGTATCTGATATAATTGACATATATTTAAAGTACATAATTGACATATATTTAAAGTACATGATACACAAGCGAGACATGAAAATGACAAATGAGATAGGAGGAAAGTAAAGGAAATGAGTGAGATTTATCTATATATCTTAAATAGATGTAAATCTATTTGTGAATAATGTATTCAAGACTTAATTTTAATTCTATGCATCCAGAGATGCATAAATCTAAATACAAACATATTTGAACACACCTAAAAATTTGATAACGTGTATCTAGTTGATTAACTATTTCTAAATTAGTGAAATTAGAAGTATTAATTAACTTTTAAATTAGTGAAATTAGAAGTGGATATTCTTATAAGTTGAGCTATGATTGTACAACAGTTCAATTTCTTTTTTCTATTTTGATAGTTTTGAAAATTATAGTGTTTCATTTACTAAAATTGTAACAAGTATTATGTAACCCAGCAACCCTCCTAGTGCTGCCACAAGGTAATGCATATTAAGCTATTAACATATTACTCCCTTCGAAAAAAATATCATGGAATTTAAAAATGAAAAGAAATCAATCTTGTTATCCTAAACTAAAATTATATCAAATATCAAAAATAATTTAATTAATGACAATAACTTAATTATCACTAAATATAATCTAATTAATAATAAGACAACTAACTCTCTTTGTATATATCCTGAAAAGACTATAGCGACATTAATTTAGCACTTAACTAATGCTGATAAAAACATTAATACTCGATGAAGCCTGATTTCAAATTTCAAAAAGGTCCTAAAAACCAATTGTACAAAAAGTTATAAAAAAAATTACAAGAGCTCAAGGCAGATGTAGCTTACAATATTTCCAACACAAATATACATAGGTAAAAACTAAAACTCGTTAAATATTCATAAAAAAAATTAAAATTCTTAATTGGCCTCTAACTACTTGCGTAAGATAGATGTAGCTTATAATCAATAAGTTAACAATGGAACTCAATATTTCCAACACAAATAAATATTTCTTAAATTAAAAGAGATTGAAATTCCAACTACATCTATTTGCAAAGAGTATCCTCAAAAAAGTACAAGTACATTATTTAAAATTCTGAATCCGTCTCTGATTACATCTACTTGCGAGAAGTATCCTCGGGACGAACAGTACCCGAGGGTACCCTCGCAAGAGGTGGTTGCGATTTCTTGTTGATGTAAGTCATGTAGTACCAAATACCGCCAACAACAACAGCAGCGCCTAGCGCCATAGTGCCCGGACTATACGGTAAATTTCGCCATGGCTTATTTACATCACCACTAGCCATTTCTTCTTCTAATATTGAGAAATAAAAGTTTCTAAACTTTATAGTTATTTTATTTATTTTTCTTTGTAAGACTTTGTTACATTTTTTTTTTCTTCATATATATTTATGTAGAAGTTTGGTGTAGGTATGAGGAGATGAGTAGACACGTTACTCTTTTGTGTCATGTTATGAGAAGTTTGCTTTTGCATGTACTTTAACATGTGGCATTTTTTCAATTTTGTTTGGTTTTGTTACTACTTGAGTTTTTCTTATTTAGAGGATAAGTGATGGCGTATGTATATCATCTTAAACTTATGAGTAAAATTAATTAAATACTTTAAATTAGAGAAAAGTATAGAAAATATTTTTGAATTTGGTTCAAATTATTAGTCTTAAAAATATCCTTCTATTTGATTAACTAAACTTAGTTACATTTTTTATCTGTCACATATAGCAAGAGGTTTTAGAGTATGGGACTCTTAATAAAAAGTCGAGAGAAATGTTGAATACATTCCTAAATTAGTTAAGTAAAAGAGTATTTTTAAAGTTCTCAATAATTCAAAATTTGAAACTAATAATTTACATCAAATTTAGAGGCATTGGAAATACTCTTTCTCTTTAAATTATCATAATATTGTTTAGTCTCAATTGCACAAGTGTCTCCTTGCAAAATAAACGTTAGCTTATTCACTTCAAGCATGTCACCTTAGTTTTATTAGGGGAAAAATGTCTGAAATATATTTAAACTTTGATCAAAATTTAAATATATTTCGAACCCTTTCCTAGTAGTATTTTCATTGAAATTGACATGTATAATTAAGTTTTGGTGAAATATTTTATATAATTAACTAATTTAAATAATAGTCGTTTCCGAACACATGTAAAAGATTTTTTTTTATGCTACAAAACCTCAAAAGTCTTTTTCTTCTTAAACTTTATGTTTAATCAAATCGTGTCACATGAATTAAAACATTGAATATTTTTTTGGAAAAATTGCAGAAATCCCACCTTTTAGTTTACTTATTACCATTATCCCCTATAAGTTTTACAAATTTCCAAAATCCCTCATTTTCGCTCATCAGATTAGTGTATCTCGTGCATCAGATAGTGTATCATGTATAGTATAAAATGTACATCAGATTAGTGTATCTCGTGCATCATATTAGTGTATCTCGCGCATCAGATAGTGTATCATGTATAAAATGTACATCAGATTAGTGTATCATGTATAAAATGTAATGTATCTTCCTTAACGATTAATGTATCTCGCACATTAGATTAATGTATCAACACTTATATTATTGTATCCGTTTGAGGGATTTCTGTAATTATAAACTTTTAAGGGATAAATTGTAATTTTGCCTTAAAAGTATGTGATTTCTGTAATTTGCCCAAAAAAAATTTCCCTTTGTTCTCCTTCGACCTCTTTTACTGCACTTTGGGCTTTCATCTAAAGTTGGGCTAGAGACCCTCCAAGCCCAAGTAAGAATATAAAAAAGCCCAACAAAAATTTAACCGTTAGTATCCTTCAGCCCTATTATTTTAACGGCTAGTTTTCTTGCTCCTTTTTAGCTGCAATTTAACTCTTAACGGCTAGTTTTCTCTACACTATATATATTACAATAAATCTATAGACTTTTGTAAAATCATCAAACAAATTATTCATCTGCCTTCAATTTTACCTTTTCGAAAGCTACATAATCATCGAAAAAAAACTGTTTTTGAGCTAATTGCTTCATACTCAATGGCCGTTTTTTCAAGAAATGTGTTTGTAATGGCAATTCTGTTTTCCAGTCTATTGAGCTTCACAGAAGCCAGAGACCATTTGGTTGGTGGAAAAACTGATTCTTGGAAAATCCCATCCTCCGAATCGGATTCCCTCAATCGTTGGGCTGAAAAATCGCGATTCCTAGTTGGAGATTCTCTTGGTATGTTAAAAAAATCTCAACTTTATAATTTGCATTCTCATTATACTTTAAATCGTATTTATGACATATAAATTGAAACAGAGGGATACTACTAGTGCAACCATAAAATGTTAGAAGGGACAAATCAGGAGCGGACCCCTGGACCCCTGAACTCCTTTTTTCGTGTTTTGAACCTCTGAGTGAAAATTTTAACTCAATTTTTTTTTTTTTGTCAGTGTGGAAGTATGATGGAGCAAAAGATTCAGTTTTGGAAGTGAGCAAGAGGGATTATGTGACATGTAACACATCAAGTCCAATTGCAATGCATAATGATGGGAACACAAAGATAGTGTTAGAACATTCAGGGGCATATTATTTTATTAGTGGTGTGAAAGGGAATTGTGAACAAGGACAAAAATTGGTTGTGGTGACATTATCTAAGAGGAGATACGCGGATGCACCAGTACCGTCTCCGGTAGAATTTGATGGTCCAGCTATAGCTCCTACTAGCAATACTGTTAGTTTGAAGGCTAGTTTGGTTGTGGCTTTTGGGGTTTTAGTAGGCTTTTGGCTTTGAAGTGATTTTAATTTTTTTAATTATTGGATAGGTGGTGGGTGGCCTTCTTGGTCATTAATAACTCTTTAATTATATTCTTTTATTTATTTAATTTGTTGTTTACTTTGTCTCAATATTAAATAAAAGTTTGATTTCTTTTTTGTCTTTGTTCATGGAAATTTCATATTTGTGAAAATTATCTAAATTTCTCCACTTTTATTTAATTTTTTCATTTAAGGGCCTCACCTACCCCCCCCCCCCCCCACAGTCTTTGATTATTCGGATTGATTGATTGAGAATGTTGGATTTTGTTGAGCTTGAGTGGGTCTATAAAAGATGAGATTTAACAGGCCACATCAATGAAAGAACAAATCGAAAAATGGTAAATCTGAACACATATTTTATGTCCCAAATTAGCTGCCAATTCTTTTTCCTCTACACCCCCCCCCCCCCCCCCCCAAAAAAATAAAAAAAAAAGAGGAGGGATCAAGCAATACTTTTATCCTTATTTGAAAAGTTTGAATTTCAAGAATCAAATAAAAAAAAATATGACAAAGATCGAATTTCGAGAATCAAAATAAAATAAAATTATATGACAAGTTCGAATGTCGAGAATCAAATAATCAAAAAAATTTAAATCATCCTGTGACTAAAAATTATTCTTAAAAAATTGTCCACTTTTCTTTTTTCCAATTTTTTTTTACCTTTTACTCAATTAAATTACTTTGAAAAATGTAGAACTCTTGAAAATCTCAAGTTTTAATTAATCCACTTCAATAGGGGATAAAATGATAAAACTTCTGTCAATAACTGTTTTCTTAATAGGTGTGTCAATTCAAAAGTGGATAAAATCGAGACATGTAATTTCCAAATGTTTTCTTTGCAACCAAAATTACACATCCTAGGATACCAACTTTATTCATATCAAAATTTTAATTTCTTGAGCTTATTATATAGTTTGCTTCGTATCAAATGACTATATTTGTATCGCGTTAAAAGAAATGACATAAATGAGATTATTATTGAAACTCGCATTAAGAGAAATGACAAATAGCAAATATTTGGATGAGGACTTATATATTGCTTCACTGTGTTTGCACAAAAGGAAAAATCTAAGTTGGCAACTCAAATAATTAAAAGTGCTGCTCTTTATAAACAAAATTGGAGCTTATTTTCTGGTTATCTAAATTACTTCATTCCTTCTAATCCTGCTGGCATCCCTAAGCTCTGAGCAAGATTGTTCATTCTCTCCTTCATTGCCTGAAGGACATTCAAAGACATTATTTTGCATCGTATCGAAGAAAAGCATGAAAACCATTACTATATATATATCACAAAGATACTTCTTTTTTTTCTCACCACTACACTTTTCTGATGCGCGTCCCTGTACGCCTCTGTTACTAGAAGTGAGAGTTTCTGCATCCACCAAACATACAAACATGCTCAATAGAAAGAATAACAAGACTCATATAATAGCGCGATATTCAAAGAGTTAGAACATATCACACCCCCTTGGAGTGTGGCCCTTCTTCGGACCCTGTGTGACTGCAGGAGATGCTTAGTGCTCCGGGCTTCCCTTTTTATTCAAAGAGCAAACTGATATCATGGATTTACTTACATGTGCTCTCCAAAACGTTCGTATAAATCACAAGACTCTCTAATCAAAGCATATACTAAAACTCAACTAGACATGTAGAAATAAGAATCTAATACTTGGTTTGCTTCTACTTCACCCAACCATGCTGTCTAGCGACAGCCTATCTGAATTTAATTTTGAGACGGTGTTAAGTTTGAATAGCCACAAACATATAAACTTACATCAGATCCCATGTCCATTGCAGCGTCAGTTATTTCAATGCGCACTGGCTGTTGGTTACCAGAAAGTGTTGCCTACAGAACAGTCCAGATCAAAACGTAAGCAGTCACTAGACATCAAAGAGAACCATTTCAAGCACGATTTTTGAATCTTTGCAGGTTTATCGGTGTCCATATGAGAGAAATGTGGAGGGGATAAGGAGAGAAACAAAAAGCTCATCAATACCTTTATAAGTTCACCTTCACAATAGCCATCAAACTCTGCACTGCAAATTAAGACAGAAAGGTAACACGAGAATTTAGAGTACAGAGTAATGGAAGAGTGACTGCAAATCAGAAAACGAGTATGGAAAAATTTATCAGGAACACCTACGCTGCAAGTTCTTTCTGCACACGTACTGCCTCGACTTGAACAACCATTTGTGCCTTCTTTACAGTTTCATACAGATTTTGCATGTTTCCAAGTACTCCAGCCTGGATTAAAGTTAGATTAATCATGTCAAAGAAACATGATGATTTTGATATCACGGAAGACCACCACCAACAACCATACTACGCTTTTTTCTAAAGCCAAAATGACTATACATGAGTAGGAAGCTAGATACAAAACCTAAGAAAAAAATAATCTATGAACGGTCAATAGCATACATTCCATAGGTACTATTTGATATAACGATCAATACACAGACAGTACATAATTGCTGCACCAACTAAAATCTTTCAAATACATGGAAATCCATGTAGAAGAAAAGAGACAAATAATATATGCCTCAGAACTATGAATAGAGAGGGACTCTCCTTGATAAAGGGTGGACGAGAATCTTTTCCCTCATTTTCATCAAGTCTTGCAGCAAGTATTCTTCTCAGTCTTTTATCAGAAAATTCTGAGGCTAAATATCAGACTATTAGAGTTTTCAGAAACACTTAGAAGAATTTTTGTTTAAGTAAACTTATAAGACATGTTTTATTGTTTTAAGTAAATTTATAAGATTTTAAAAATAGTTTTAAGTAAATTTATAGGATATTCTCTTGAGTAAATTGAAGTATCATCTCTCATTATGTACCATGAGCAATTTCTGTTTAAGTAGATTCGTGAGACATTCTCTTGAGTAAATTGGAGTGTCATCGCTATTTATTTTTTCTGTACTCTCTGGTATATATTTCTAATATAATGGAATTATTCCTCCTCGTTGCTAGATGTAGGCATAATTGAAGAACCATAAAAATTACATAAAGTCATCTCTCTGTCTCTCTTTTATTGGCTTTATTATCGTATTTTGTCCCCTTCAAATCGAGGGTAAATCCTCAACAAGTCTTCAATGTTCATCTTCTATGATTATCCCGTTTAAGAATTTCTCAATATTGATATGGAACTCTGCTCTTAGTATCTTGATAGTGAAATTTACAGACTTGCACCAAAAGAATGCTTCAAAAGATCGATGAGCTTGCTAAATGTCTTATTTTTTTGTATAGCTGGAGTAATTTGTCCCCTGTAAACTCCCGAGACAACTTCAAGGATATCGCTAGCTCCTTATCTTTAGTATAGGGCTCATTGTAATGGAGCTAACAAACTCACTTTTGATCTCACTCTTTTATCTACTATTTGCATCTACTTGATGCCTTAAATGAAATCTATTACTTCATCAAAAAAAAAAAAGATCGCTGCGCTTGCTATTTTGTTACTAGCATTATTTTGTTAATGTCGTATTTTAGGACATCTTCGCCTCCCATTAAACTTATTTTGTTATATTGATACATGCTTTTTCCCCTTCATTGAAAAGTATCAAATTTGGAGATCCATCAAAGCAAGTTGAAAATGTGCTGAACCTAAACACTCATGGACAACTTTGCTACTTCATTTTCTTCTAACAGAACTTTGTGGAGTGGTTACCGATTCCTGGATGATTAGACACATTAGCAACAAATCCATTGGTCCACTTATGTCAGTCTAATCTTAAACTGATACTTAAAGGAGATTAACTTGAAAGCAAACCCGTGTATCCTTCATTATTGCCAAAATATAATCAACCAAGTACTCATTATTGCCAAAAGAAATGGCGGTACGGCACCGTCTCATGTAATGATAAAGCTATGAAAAATGTATAACCTCACATCCAAGACAACAAACCCCAAAGGGTAAAAGATGATACTACAGGAAAACCGTACTAAGGATTGTATGGAGATTTCATGCAGGGTTGTCCAGAACATGGTTTAATTCAAATTTACATAACAATCAAGTAGACTCCTGCGAGAATTTTGCACATATTATGTTTTTGTATCAATTAAAGAAGAGAATATTCTGCACCTTTGAGGAATTATCATCACCGTTATTATCCTTTTTGCCACCAAACAAGCCATGAACATGGAAAGATCTCCTAGCTTTCTGTCCATTTCGTGATGATACACTTGAAGGACCAATAAGTAGGGTACTTGAGTTTGATTTACCTAAAACACGATGAAGGTATGTCACATTAGAATCATTCCTAGAATTAGTTAGAAACTTTGAAATAGCAATATACATCATAAGACATATCGGAAACTAAATGGATTAGCTAAGAAGAAAGGTAAGTTAACATGAAACATAAAAGACTACAGAAAAAGACAAATATATTCTGCCTAATCTCATGAAACACTCTCCCACGTAGCTGGTTAAACCATGGAAACAGTAAAGACCATTTTTTTAATCGTTAAAGTCAAGCATTTTACTTGCTGAGATACTTTCAAATAAATTCAGAACTTGAGAGGGGATCAGAGTGCACACTATATTGATGCCTACCAAAATGATTTAATCATGGAATAATACATAGATAGACACTTTAACTTGGCATCAACACTCCAACTTTGAGTATGCACATCTAGACACCTCAACTCGTCTCCATTGTGTCAGTTAAGCACTCCAACTCACAAAATGATCATCTAGATCCGCTGTGTCAATTAAGCACTAACTCACAAAATGATCATCTAGACACCTCTACTAAATATATGTCATGTCTTCATCGAGTGTCCACGAGACACAGTGGGGACAAGTTGGAGTGTTCAGTGGTCAATTGAGACCAAGTTGTGGTGTCTAGATGTGCACTATCAAAGTTAGAGTTTGCATAATGCCATTAACTCCTTAATGACCATATGCGGCATTAAGAAAGGGTGAGATATATCATCTGATGATCTCCCCACACACTATAAGAAGTTAAAATCACGATCCATAAAAAGAACAAAAAAGGCAAATGCTATGATAAGTAACCACCGGAAGGAAATATCCTTACAATGTTAACGCTTTCTTGATTTGAAAAAGAAAAAGATGAAAAATTCTTACTATAATAAACACAGACACATTTTATTGAACATTCTACAGCAGAAGCCAGAATATAACCATGATAAGCAAGCTTTAGTATACCAATTTAACATAAACAGGGTTGTCTTGGAACCTTTTCTTTTTCTTTCTTTGGAACCTCCAACCTTCGAATCCTACAGAAGCCCCATACCGAACCCTCCAAAGTACAAACTAAACTTCTTCCATTTAGAGTTCAACACATAAGAAAAATATACAAAACAAACCTCTGGAATGGCATTGTATGGTCTTAAACATCCTTATACACTCCATCTAATAAAAATTTGATATTGATATAACCAATATATAAACATTTCCTAAAAGATGAGCAACCAAATTACCAACTAGGCAACCAGAAAAAAGTACATGTTACAAATAAGTTGCTCGGACTCTCCAAAAATGTTGCCGTACACGTGTCGGATCGTTCAAAAATACACTATTTTCGGAGGATCCGACATCCGTCGACATTTTTGAAGAGTCCGAGCAAAGAGTACCATTACAAATAAATAAAAATACTTCCATTGAACATGATAAAATCAAGTGGTAAGTGCACATGAGGGACAAGGGATAATAATCTCGGATTCATTGTGCATTTGGTTAGGGGTATTAGTTAGTCCCCGGATTATTTATCCTGTACTAAATCTCATCCCCCATACCAAACCACCGCTATAACGTTTGGATTACCCATTATCCATCGAGTTTTGAATCGTGCACCACTGCTCCTCAAATGATAGATTTCTCAGTTATCAAAAACATATCAAATGGTATAAATTAACTAAAAATTGAGTCTTTACAGATAAAATGTGAATTTAAGGTAAATCCAAAACTATGGTCTTGATAATTATTCAAAAAAGATCTATCAATGAACCCAAATACCCAAGATGCAGTATAGTAAAAGCACTAAACCCAACAAATTTCACAAGCAATAAAAACTATTAATTTGCCAATTCAACCAATATTGAAATTGATAATTAAAAATATGTTAAACAAGATAGAATCATCAACTTACTGAAAGAGAGTGAAGAAGAGGAAGGGCATTTATGGTCATTTGGTCTGTGACAATTGAGGAATTGAGATGTTAAGGTAGCACTTGGAGAAATCGCCATTATATGCTGAACAAAAAGGATTAAGCTTTTGAGTATTCTCCCTTTTTAGAGTAGGTCACATATCTACTCCGTCCCAATTTATATAACACTTTTAAGATTTCGAGATTTAAATAAATTTATTTTTGACTATAATTTTTTCATAAATCTTTAAATTATTTTGAATTGTCAATTATTGTGTTTTATAATACTTTGTACGTAGTTTAAAAATATCTAAATTTCATTTCAAAAAAATTGAAAATTTTACGCGCAAATTTCCGATCAAACTGAAACTATTAGACTCTCGAAAAATGAAAAGAGTCACATAAATTGGGACAGAGTATATTTTATTTCTTTATCTAATACTCCCTTCGTTCACTTTTAGTTGTTACGTTTTCATTTTTAGAGTCTAACTATAAAAACTTTGACTAGTATTTTATGATGTATTTTTTCATTTTATTGATATTCAAAAAATTACAATTTATAGTGTTTTTCGTATAATATTGAAATTTTTTGTTTAAATTATCAAACTAATGTAATCTAATTTAACTTTAAAAATTAATCAAATTAACTTTCGAAAAACACAACATAACACTAAAAAATGGATGTGGAGGTAGGAAAGTAAAAAAGTACAAGCATTAATGCATGTGGTACAATCCAGATAATGCACTACCAAAAATCACAGTGTACTATAGTAAACAGTACTCTTTTTCTTTTTGAAAAAAAAAAACAAATATACACTTGAGTTATTCAAAATGAGTCTGTTATCCTTTGTTGCGTTTTAGGCTTAAAAATGTCTTTCAATTATCAAAATAGCTCAAAAACATCTTTCTTGCTAACAATTATTTCAAAATAAAGAAAAATAGGTCAATTTCCCTTAAACTATTCAAAATTAAATATCTTTGCCCTTATTCTTTTTGAAAAATAACACGTAAAATTGAATATGGAAAGGGGGTAGAATGTGTGAGACATATAATAACATATAAGAAAAAAAATTAGTATAAACACTTCTATTTTAACAAAGGAAAAGGCCTGAACTATTCAAAATGGTTAGTATGACCCTCAGTTATGTTTTTGGTTCAAAAATATCCTTCAACTAGAAAAATATATTTTAAAAAAAATATCCTTTTTTAAAAGTTGCTCCAAAACAAGGAAAAATGGTCCAATTTTCCACTTAAACTATGCAAAATAAGACAATTTTGACCTACATTTAAAGTTACAAGGTAAATTATTATCAATCGATGGAAACGCTATTCTTATCAAGCATGTGTTACAAACTTACAGTTTCAACCAATTTATTTACTAATTTCCGTGACACATTCCAATGAGATGTTTCTATAAATCGAAAAATATATGTCAAGATTTTTTTGGGGCTCAAATGACGAAAACAAAAGACACCATTGGAGTTCAAAGAGTTTTTTCCTCTGGGTCTTCTTGTAAATATATATTTATACGATTTTTGTGTGTTATCTTTCAGTATTGTTATTGTTTATTTGGTGTTCGATTTCAACTTTTTTCTCTAGAAATATATTATTGTAATGACCCTCCAGGTCATTTCTGTGTCTTGCCTTCTGTGTGTCGTTTAGAGCGTTCCTGTAGCGACCCCAAGTCATTTATGACTTGCTGAGACTGACAGTTCGGTCACCTGGTCGTTCGTTTGGTCTTGGTGCGAGTTTTTGTGTTTTGGAGCTTATGAACCTTGAACGATCATTTTCGATCAAAGTTTAGAAGATGACATCGGAATCCAATTCTGAATATTCCATCAGCTCCGGAAGGGTCATTTTAGGCTAGTAGCATGGTCGACATGACTCCCGAGGTTTTCAGTGTCAGTCGGTGCAATTAGGCGTTTTAACTTAGTTTAAGCCTAAGTTTGACTTTGGTCAACATTCTGAGTAAAACGCGCTCGGGATTAAGAATTCTGTCAGTGCGGTTAGCTCCGAAATGTCGAGTTTGGTCTAGATTGACCCTTCTTTTGTGTCCCAAGGTTTTCGATATCTTTCCGAGCCCTTTTGTGGGTTTTGACTTAAAATGACTTTTGGAAGTGGGACCCACTTTTTATCGAGATGACCTCTGATGGAAATTTCGACTGCGCCGTTGAGTCCGGAATATCGAATTTGGTATGGTTGCATATCTTGTTTGCGTGCACGGGGGTTCCGAACGAGATCGGAGCAACCCGTCGGAGTTTTAAGTTTGGAAATTATTGCCGAAAATCTGCAATAAATGCAGAAAAACAGCAACATATTTCCAAACTTCAAACTCTCATAACTCTCTCATCTCTCAACTGAGTTGGGCGATTCAAAAGGCAAAGTTGTGAGATTTTTCGAGGACAACACGTTGATGAGCTCGGATAGTGATTTGGGGTTCCGGTTTGAGGCAATTTTCGTAAAATACCTGCTGCCACGACCCTTTATTTTGAGACTTGTTTTCTCAGCCTTTCTAGGTCCGATTTCAGTGATTTTTGAGGCTATCTTGAATGGTTTTTCGAGGAAAACGTCGTGGTGTTGTCGCATTTCACTGTAGACCTCCAATTTCTGGTAAATACATTGATTCAACTGCTGTCCCATTTCTAGTTTTTGAGAAAATTTGGGTTTTGGTTGCATGTTGATATTGTGTTATTCTCGAGCCCCGAATTATGTCCCATGTTGGGACATGAGTTGGGGGAACTGGTTAGGACCCACTTTTGGGGTTAATTCCAGAATTTCCAATGCGGGTCCCACTTTCCCCGTTTTGACCCCGAAATTGACCCATCTCTGTTTGTTGTGATTTTGGTGTATAAACGACTGTAATAACGTTGTGACTCTATTTTTTATAGCGGGGCAGCGTTTCGAGGTCGTTCGAATAGGGAAAGCACCGATAAAATGATTTGGAGAGCGCGTGATCGGCCTTAAGGTAGGCTACGGCTTCCTTTCTTTTAGATTGAGTTTAATTGTGTAAAAACATGTCGATTGGAGTGAATTTGGGGTGGATACCATTTTACTACCTTACTTTGATTAGATACCTCATGTTAGGATCGATTGGCCACATTTCGGGTATAGTATCATGTTAACCAGTTTAGTAGAGTTGCATGTTTATGTGCTAAATGCTATTGTATGCTTGTATGTTATGTATTGTATGTCTTGTTCATCCTTAACCGTAAACATGATGTCCTTAGTCTAGGTTAGGCTAGCATTGCCTTAGACTTATGATCCGTGTGGGCTGGATAGCCTTGACTTGTTGCCGACGTCGTTCGGATGACTTAGCTCCTTGTAGACTGGAATAGCAGACTTGAGTCTGATAGTTTGAGCCTTAGATTAGGCGTTATCGCTGCTTGCTGCACTTCTGTATCTTCTCCCTCTCATTCTGCGGTTTCGACGCATTCTCGAAGGTTTGGTGCATCATTAGAGGCGTGAGATTGAGATGGTATAGGCTTGGAGTCTTTTCTGTGATTTCTTAGAGTGGACGGCGTTCCACAGTTATTGTTGTTGGATTGGATCCTATTGGAGATACCATCACCCCCGAGGTCGTTCTATCTCGCTGGGCTGGGAACGTATCGCTGGCTGGGTAGACTCGGTGATATCGGTGATCGCCCCCGGGCCTCTCTTTCTAGCTGGGCTG